CTTCACACAACGGACCCGTGAAGGTTCGGGTTAGAATATTGATTTTCAGTAATCCATGCTTGTCGTAAGAGGCGACTAACGGGATCGGGTGGTCAGGCTCGCTGACTTGGTTGACACATGTCATCGGTTCCCAATGGCGCAGATCGATGCTCATGCTGTTGATCACTGGATTATCTCACTCTTCACATAACGGCTCCAAAGCTTCCTATCGTGTGTTTTCGTTGACGATCCTGCTTGCTTTCTTGGCAGATTTTACGTGCGCTTTCCGACATGATGTATATTTCACACACGATATGACAATATATTGAAATTTAAGTCAATTTCAACTTTAAACCCATTTTGGTATGTATTTAGAGGTGATAAATATTTCAAGCAACGTAATTATATATAGACATAAGGTTAATATAATATAGAACTTATTAACTTCACTCTTAAAGATTGTGTTTACATTTCACGTGACATGAGCTATTTTAGTCTGACATTTCTGAGGTGATTTATATTTGTTTCTTCATACTGATTTTCAAATTGTGTACAGCTTGTTCAGCGTGACCTAATTAAGTGAATACTAATGCATTCCGTGACCGTGAAGGGGCGCACCTTTGTCAGTTGATTGTCAACATGTCCGAACAGCCGAGACAAGGTCGCCGTTTGACATCTCAGTGTCGATAAATCGTCAGCAATGTCTTAACTTTCTTTTACAAAGAAGCTACAGACATATTGCAGTTGAACATGAAATAGAAAAAGTGATAATTGAACTGGGTTGTGCGAGTGATAGCGAGAGTGAAACGGATTGTGAAAGTAATTGACGTCTGTAACGTCCAGAACTGGGATACGACCAGAACTAGTAAACCAAACTGACTGAGTGGATGAGTCAGTTTAGTTTAACGCCGCACTCAGCAATATTCCAGCTATATACCGGCGGTCTGTAAATAATCGAGTCTGGACCAGACAATCCAGTGATCAACAGCATGAGCATTGATCTGCGCAATTGGGAACCCATGACATATGTCAACCAAGCCAGCGAACCTGACCACCCGATGCTTTGCACGAATGCAACATTAATAACATTCTCTGCTCCCCTATTTAATGAAGTTAACTCGACCTGCCGTTTGTGCCATTTGATCTCACGGGTCATGCATATGTACAGTAGCTCCGGCCAAGCTGAACAAGCTGAAAGGCTGCAAGGTTCCATACACGTTTAGACTTACACTCATGCACACTAAATCATGTCAGGACTCTGCACGAATTCTTCAGTCTATTATATATTTTAAAGTTAATATATTAAAGCTGAAATTATTTATAGCTGCGAGTTTCAAAACAATATATTCATATATAGTCAATCAACATTACTCTTGAAGAATGTGCTTACATTTCACTTCGCTTGGGATATTTTAGTCTGGCATTTCTGGGGTTATTCATATTGTTTCTACACATTCAAATTCCACTAGGTGTATGGCAGCAATGTTACATAATGCTTAAACAACGGATAGACACTGTGTAGAATAAATAATGATAGGGCTCACTACGAATCTTTCAGGTTTTAGACCTATTAAAGTCGAATACATATTACTCATATTAATTGCCTATTCAACAAAGAAAATCACCAACCGTTTTTAGAAATATACATTTGGAAATAAATAGGTAAGCAGTTGGTTCATAATAACATTAGAATGTGTTTTCAACAACTCGTCATCACAATTGTTATTATTTTTATTTAAAACAGATTAAAATTGTTTCTGTAATGGTTTTTGCTGTGGGAATTAAACAGAACTAGAGTTATTGTCCTTGCTTGGAAAAGTTCTGATGTTCATACGCCAACATGACATCTTACCAGAAGGGTACGAGTCGTTGGTGGGTCAGTCCCGAAACAACACGAGCTGGTGACATGGGGATAACAAGGATTCATACTACCCGTCAAACTTTAGAGAACTGTTTCCTATGCATTGGCTTTTAACCAATAACAAAGGACCTCTAATAAGCGTCGCTTATCATGACCGTCATATAGTTGGAATATTGCTGAGTGCGGTGTTAAATAACAAACCAAAATTAATTTTGTTAGAGAGCAGCTGCATCAAGCTGAACATATGACATCTATAACCAAAGCGGTTTTGTTAATGAACCACAAACGCAGGTGGCGTTTAAGATGTCATTTTAATGGCAGAATATATCGAACAAAAATAACACAGTACGATATGATGTACTATATATGCATCTATGTACATGTCATGAGAACTGATGTTAACTCTTAGAAACCCACTTGAGTGCATAACATAAATATTCACAGTAAAATATCAAACACCCTCACCTGAACATGTATACTAACGGAAAAAAGTAACTGTGCATTCAGAAATTGCAAAAAAGTAAAGTTATTTGAAAGTTGTACAAATTATCCTTAATAAACATATAGCAAAGCGCTTTGCATGAAATTTGATGTCACGTATCGCGTGTGGCACATGCACAATGAACTTACTCCGTTTCTGCATGCCTTCTGACACCTGAAGTGCACACACCTGATACAGAAAATTAACGAATGGTTCATTATTCTCTCGTCTCTGAATGTTGGGGAAAATACCTTAATTTCAACCTAAACTGCGCGTACGTCACACCACTGCCTACAGAAAATCAGCGTCTCCGCCTCGTGGGTATGCTGGAGACTGGAATGGTCCAAAATGAAGTGGCCATTTTGTTGTCCATCGAAACACGATTTCATTTCTATGAAGACGTTTCAACAAAATGGGAACACGAAAGATTTGCCTCGGCCGTCCACGCGTGTTATCAACTCAGTCAGCAAGACAACCACATTCGGCTGACACATACAAGGAATTGATTCCAGACTGCCAGTTTGACTGCTCGGACCATTCCAAACTTATTCCAATCAGTTCCAGGACTGTACGGAACCGAGTGAGGGAGCACAATATCCGGCCCCGAATGCCTGCAATACAGCCAATTTTGCTCCAACGTCACCGACAGGCACGTCTTGCCTGGTAGAGACAACATCTACGGTACCGGAGACAAGATTGGGATGGTGTTTTGTTCACTGACAAGTCGAGATTGCATCTGGACAGTTCAGATGGCAGGGCAAGGGTGTACAGGCGGCGAGGTGAACGGTATGCTGACGCGTGCATTGTTAAACATCGACAGTTTGGTGGCGAGAGCAATGATATGGGGAGACATCACATCTCATGGTCGGCAACAACTTGTCATTGTCGATGGCAATCTGACAGGTCTCAGGGATTAAGTCATTTGGGCCTATGTGTGCATCTGTTCATTCAAGGACAGAGACGTAACTTCACGCATCAGCAAGATAATGCCCGTCCACATGTCACTCCATTTCCTGAGACAGCAGAACATTCCGGTACTCCCCTGTCCAGCTTTTTCTCCGAACCTGTCCCCAATCGAGCACGCTTGGAATGAAATGGTGCGACGTTTACGTCAACCCCAGAATCAGCCATTGACGTTAACTGAATTGGGACAAACGTTGGTTCAGACATGGAACAACATTCCCAAAGCTTTTCTCTTGTGAACTGACTTTTGACACCACATCTCGTCACGGTCCCTCGTGTCCAATCATGCAGATTTCGATATTATATTGTCAACAGTGAAACAGTGATCAAGGAAAACATCACAAATCATGTTTTTATCTTTTTTGCACTAAAAATGGCATAACACCAAATAATGCACAGTTACTTTATACAAGTAGCATGTATTATGTATAATGTCAAAGTCAAATCTTATGTTCGTATAAAAGCCAATGACCTATATACAGAGAAAATACCTATTTACATATTTCAGTAGTACTTCACTTCGCACATAATTTGCTAGAATTATTCCAGCATTTTTTAAACTTTGACTCTTTTCATGAGTTTGAAATAAGTCAGTATTTCTATACCAGTTTTCTGATGCATGAAATCTTGATTTTTAATCACGGACCTCATAAGACCGTAATGCCGTAACGGCTATTCATATATGCATCGGTACGTGTGTAACTTAAATTTAGTTTACAAGTAGATTGCACCAATATATGTTCACGCTCTTGGTTAGGAAATATCCACATGCTATTTAAGATTATATATAATAAACGTACTCAGGCTCGTAGAGTATTTATGCAAACTGAGATATAGTACAGTTAGATATATATGAAATCATGGTATTTATTTATTCATATTCACCACACATAACACTGAGAAAACTGAGATGTACTACAATTAAATATAAATGAAATCAATGTGTTGATTTGTTTACAGTTACCACACATAACATACGTGAATCTTCAAAAGAAGCCATGGAATATGCACTAAGTAAGAACAAATAAATACACAATTTACTAAAAACTAACCTCTGCTCAATTGACAAATGTGTTCATCGATGTTGATACAACGCCAGTACAAGGTTCCAGTGCAGATGACAGTCAGCTGACTCACAAAGCCCCACAAAACATCCTGCTACTGAATATAAGGGCGCCGAGGCGACAAAAGCCACCAAGGGAACCACTAGAGCAGGCAAACGCAATGGTAACTGTGCTATTGCGAAAGTAAAGCAGGCAAAAGATTCAAATAAGAATTGACATCAAAATACACTTGGTATTATAAACATAATTACTACCATACAAATATATGTTCCACCAAACATACAATAATTTTTATTATTATTTATTTTATGAAAACAGAATGTAGTTACATACTGTCTTTGGCATTGTCTGTAATCATTAATTCTTCAAGCATCTATGGTTTTCAGAAACAAATATTTTGTATTTCGTTTTTAATGGTGCATTTATAAAAGTCTCCTTTTTTCGCGCTCAGTTCAAGTCTTATTGCCAGGACTGATATAGGAAAAGGTTCGTCTTACCACACTTTGTTTGGTTATACAGTCAATAGTCATCAAGGTTGCAGCTACGCGTACACTACCATATCACTATCAGGGGACATTAGCGATCACAATTAGACGTTACTGAAAAATTCAAGTGTTATTTGCGCAATGGTTTTTTGAGGAGTTTTACAAAACACAAAGGTCTTGACGTAAGCTCATCCTTTTTCAGATGTGAAGTTAAACTCATTAAATTTAGTTGCACCCATTTCATTTACAAACTCAAAAACTGAAAACAGCTTTTGTCCGGGCTCACTGCCTCACAAACTTTGAGATTTGTTACACATACAGCTACAAATATAGCTGTACTCGTATATACAAAAGTATAAAAATGCTCTAGATCGGCAGACAAAACAGTGTGCTAAAGAACAGAAAATGTTGGAATATGGGTACACTTTAAAAGAGGTAACTCCAATGAATCATCACATTACATACTACGTATTGCCCGCTCCAGATTCTGCCAGAACACTTCTTGACCATCCTGATCATCCGTGTACTCTACATAGGAATCTTGACGCATCAACTCCACAATGTCAGGGGTCAGGTCCTTCACAGGGATGTTCTCCAGTACAACAACCAGCAGGGTGTTCCGTCCCGTGTAGATACTCTCCATCTTAGCCATCTCCACTTCGTACTTACACCAGTAGCTCTTCAAGAAGTGTCTTGACAGGACAATCACCGTCTTCCTGCTGGATTTCACGGCGTTCAGGATGTTGGCAGCGATAGCTTCCCCGACGAGAAAGTCTCGGTGATGAATACAGAGCTTTAGACCTTGCATCTCTTCAAGCCTCTGCCTCATTTCCCTAACTACAAGTCCACGGTCCTCATCAGCGTAGGATATGAAGGCATCAAACTCGAACTCCTGTTCCTCCTCTTCTACAGGCAGGTAGCCTCTGTGTCGGTTTCGGGCAACGTAGTAGAGGTACCTCAGTTTCCACCTGTTTCTGTACACGATGCTTGTCACGGCAAATGTCAGGACCAGCATGATGAGACTGAGCATCCCAATCACCACCCCAGTGTAGGATGCACAACTCTTCTCCAGTTCCATTATGATATCTTGTAGGTTGCTCATGTTTTTCTTGCCACCATTTGACCCTGTACAGAGTAAATCTTGAACATCAAAAACACTACTTCGTTTAATGTTTAGCCACTTCAAGAAGCTCAGTGTTTCACATGTACATTTCCATGGGTTTTTATGAAGCTTCATTTTCAGTCCTTTGCTCCCACTGTCATCAATCTGATTTCTAAAGGTTACATCAAGCTGCTCAAAGAGATTATCGGATAAATCTAAAAATTCCAAGTTCCCCAGGTCCCCAATTTTGGCATTCCATGTATTCAAATAGTTGGACCCAACACTCAAGTACTGAAGATTTTCTAAGCCCTTAAAAACGTCCCTTGAAAAAGTACTCAGTTTATTATTTGATAGATCCAGGTGTTCAAGCTTGAATAGTTTACGAAATGTTTCATCATGTAATGTATAGCCAAGATAATTGAAGCTTATATTCAGTATTCTCAAGGAAATAAAATCATCCAAGAAATGTGTGTTCATCAAATCACAATAATTGTGCGATGCATCAATAATTTCCAGATGATGGAACCCGATAATTGGTCCAACCCACTTTGTAAAGAAATTATAAGACAAATCCAAAACCTTTAGTCTGTTCTTACCAAATGTCATTCTAGGGAGGGTGAAACTCAGTTTTGAGTTGCTGACGTTTGCAAGTGTTAGATTTGGTGGAAAGGTGATAGTGACATTACCTGGCCACGCTGTGTCACCAACAAAAAACATGTCCAAAAAGAGAAAAATCATGTTTGTTATAGTTGGCGACAGGGTAATTTGAAATGCAACCTTCACTAGGTGGTGAGGGGTCACTATAAGTCATATGAGGGTTTCCATCAGTGAGGATAGAAGCAAGTTCTGCATATACTGAAAACGGATGAACATAAGATAAATGACATGAAGACGTATCTACAATCTGCAGGTTGGACATTGATCCCATGGTTAGAAGGTACAAACCAAAATAAAACATGTTTTTTCGCATTGAAAGAACTTTCAGGGTTTGTGGCAGAAGGACGGGTACTAGAGGATCCATTACTTCTATCCGGTTATCATCCAAATGTAATTCCTCAAGGACCATATCAGACATATATTTAACTTGTTCCACAGTTACGAGAATGCCGATACCTCGATATCTGTACAGTTTATTGGCTTTTAAATTTTCAGTGAAGAAGTACGAAGACCGTACAAACTCGCAGAAGCCTTGTCAAATCCAAGATCGGAATTTCGGGATATGTCTAACATGTGAATGTTTTGGAGAGGCTCAAATGTATATTGACCAATATCAGTTATTTCACAATTTGTAATGTCTAAGTGTGTTATTCTCTTTAAATAGCGGAATGTTTCATTCGACAAGTCCCTCATGTTGCAGTTTCCTCCAATCGTCAGTGTCGTGACGTTGGTGTCGTTAAATCCTTGTCCAAAAATTGGATTCTTCAGCCCATCTATGTGAAGTTCCTCAAGGGAAACCAGATCCTGGAAAGTTTCATCTGGGTATTGGAGTAAATACATTTCTGCTTGTGAATTATCAGCTTGTCCTTCAAATTCTACCGGAGAATTATTTTCCATTTTCAGAACCTTCAGTTTCTTTTGGAACCGGAACAGTCCTTTTGGATAAACACTTTTGCACAAGGATAGATGATTATGGCTAAGTACCAGAACGTTTAACTCTGTTAGCCCAACAAAATCGTTTCTCCTAAGCATGTTGAGTTTGTTGAATGACACATCCAGGCGTTTTAAAGAGGTATACTTCTTCAGTTGTTTACCAATATTTGTCATTTTGTTATGACTCAGACTCAGCTCTGTGATATTGTTCGGGAGGTGACCGGGAACTGATGGTAAGGATCTGTTTGAACAATCTGCAATGACTTCATCCTTTGTTTCAAAACAACTGCAGAGGTGGCAATGAAGTGATGATCCATCTGCTGACACCAGGACCACCATTAGCCACATGGGTATCCCAAGTCCAATCTGAAAGTAGTTATCATTGTTATAAGCACAGCACTCGTATGGACGTTTGATTATAAGAATTGTAGGTGTAGTTGCCAATAGCAGCTGTGGAGGAAGAGGAGAATGGGGTATAGGAGGGGAGGGGAGAATAAGGAAAAGAAGGAGGAGGAGGAATGGGGTTCAAAGGGGAGAATGAGGAGGAAAGAGAGGGTGTGAAAGTGGGGATGAGAAAGGACGCCATAAAAAAGAAGAATGAAGAGGAAAGGTGGGTGTGAAAGAAGGGAAGGAGGTGGAAAAGAGGGTGTGAAAGAGGGGAAGGAGGAAGAAAGGGGGTGTGAAAGAGGTGTAGGGGAGGAGGAGAGAGGGTGTGAAAGAGGGGAAAGGAGGAGGAAAAGAGGGTGTGAAAGAGGGGGAAGGAGGAGGAAAGGGGTGTGGAAAGAGGAAGGATGAGAAAGGGAGGCATAAAAGGAAGAAGAGAAAGGAGGAGGAAAGGAGGGTGGGAAGAGGGGAGGAGAAAGGACGGATAAAAGGAGAAGGAGGAGGAAAGGAAAGGTGGGTGGAAAGAGGGGAAGAAGGAGGAAAGAGAGGGTGTGGAAGAGGAGGAAGGAGGAGGAAAGGAGGGAGGAAAGAGGGAGGAGGGGAGGAAAGGAAAGGTGTGGAAAGGAGGGGATGGGAAGGAAAGGAATGGAGGAAAGGAGAAAGGAGGAGGAAAGGAAGGGAGGAAAGGAAAGAGGGGAAAAGGAGGAAGAAAGGAAGGAAAGGAAAGAGGTGGAAGAGGAGGAAGGAGGGAAAAGGAAAGAGAGGAAAGGAGGAGGAAAGGAGGGTGGAAAGAGGGAAAGGAGGAAAGGAAAGGGTGTGAAAGGAAAGAGAGGGGAAGAAAAGAGGTGTGGAAAGAGGTGGAAAGGAAGGAGAGGAAAGGAGGAAGTGAAAGAGGAGAAGGAGGAGGAAAAAGGAAAGGAAAGAAAAAGAGGAGGAAGGAGGGAGGAAAGGAGGGTGGTGAAAGAGGGAAGGAGGAAAGGAAAAGAAAGTGGTAGGAAGGAGAGGAGGAAGGAGGAGGAAAGGAAAGGGAAAGAGGGGAAGGAAAGAGAAAAGGAATGGAAGGAAAAGAGGAAAGGAGGGTGTGGAAAGAGGGGGAGGAAGGAAAGGAATGGAGGAAAGGAAGGAAGGAAAGGAAAGGAAAAGGAAGGAAAGGAAAGAGGAGGAAAGGGAGGAAAGGAAAGATGGAAAGGAGGAAGAAAGGAAAGGAAAGAAAGAGGAAAGGAAAGGAAAGGAAAGGAAAGAGAAGGAAAGAAAGGAAAAGAGGAGGAGTGGAAGGAAAGGAAAGGAAGGAGGAAAGGAAAAAAGGAAGGAAGGAATGAAGAAAGGAAAGGAAATGGAAGGAAGGAAGGAAGGAGGAAAGGAAGGAAGGAGGAAAGGAAAGAAAGGAAAGGAAAGGAAGGAAGGAAAGGAGGAAGGAAAGGAAGGAAGGAAGGAAAGGAAAGGAGGAAGGAAGGAAAGGAAAAGAAAAGGAAGGAAGGAGGGAAGGAAGAAGGAAAGGAAGGAAGGAAAAGGAAAGAGGAAAGGAAGGAAAGAGGAAAGGAAGGAAGGAGAGGAATGGAAAGGGAGGAAGAAGAGGAAAAGGAAAGGAGGAATGAAGGAAGGGAAGGAAAGGAAGAAAGGAAAGAAAGGAAGGAAATGGAAAGGAAAGAGGAAAGAGGAAAGGAAGGAAAGGAAAGAAAGGAAAGGAAAAGGAAAAGGAAGGAAGGAGGAAGGAAGGAAAGGAAGGAAGAAAGGAAAGATGGAAAGGAAGGGAAGGAAAGGAATGGAAGGAAAAGGAAGGAAGGAATGGAAAGGATGGAAAGGAATGGAGGAATGGAAGGAAAGAAAGGAAATGGAAAGGAAGGAAAGGAGGACCACAACACAGGACAAAGACATGGATAACCCCAAGAAAGAACGGATAACGGACGAATGACGACGGACGGACACCGACAGGTGATCCCACACGGAGGAAATGGATATGGAGACAACCAATGCACGACCAACATGGAGACCCAGCCACACAGGACCGATCCCACGACCCATACATGGCCAAGGAACGAACATGGAATGAAGCCACACAGCAATAGCTGGACAATGCACGGACACAGGGTACCCCACACAGTCCCATGAACAGATCCAAGGAACGGAATGGATGACGGAAGAGACATCCACACATGGAATATGGATACACATCCAGATAGAGACACGACATGAGGAAGGAGGCACTGAGGAGCCGGACATGGACAACACGCAAAATAACAGGAATGGAAAATGAACGAAGAAATGACAGGAAGAAGTGGATGGAACACGAATAGAGGATAACCAAGGAGTAGTAAGGAAATGGAAGTGGACCATATATGGATACCAAATGGAGAATGAAGGACACACATGACACTTACGGAAAATGGATGGATTTAATATCTTGAAATAACGCACACATGGAATGGATATGGACTTTAATGAAATGGAAATAAACAAACATGGATAATGAGAATGGACTTAAAATATAATGGAAGAAATAGAATGGAAACAGGAAAAGATGGATCTTGAACAATGAAGGAAGGAATAAGAAAAAAGAAGGAATAACGGAATGAAGAATGGAGTGGAACGGAATGGATAACGGAACAGACACTTGAACCCAGGACCAGAGAGATGGAATACGAAGGACAGGATGGATACCTAGGAATGGAGGAGCCCAGCATGGAAGACTTTGCACGGAAAGAAGAATAGGAAAATAGAAGAGAATGAAGGATGGTTCTGGATAGACGGAATGGACTTGGATACAATATGAAAGAAACACGAAAGGACCATAGTGGAAATGAAAGGAGATGGAGTGAAGCCTTTATTGCAATGGAAATGAGATGGAAAGAAGGAAATGGACCCTGCCCAATTCACCATGGATCTAGGGACACGACCTGGAAAGACGGACCATTTTATGGAAAATGGACGATGAAGGAAGATGGAATGAAGGAAGAAAGGTTGACAGTTTTAGATATTCTTAAATATACTGCATGCTGTTTTGTGAAAGAAAGAAAAGGAGGATTGCACATATTAGAAAGGAAGAAATTCGTGGGAAACGAACTGGAATGTGAAGGAAGAATGAATATGGGCCCCTGAAGTTCAATAATCGGAAATCTTATCCGCCGATTCATCTCCTAATGGAAGGTTAAAGAATGAATCTGCCGTTAGGTAAACGGAAGAGGAATGGAAATGGAAGGAAGAAAAGAAGGTTAGTCATGCCGTTAGCTAACGTCGCCGTCAAAGTTTCATTGCGTGGTTAACGTCACTGGTTAGCTTCCATATATCCCATAGTTCCGTTTTTCTGTTTACTTCCGGTTTACCAAAAAGGAAAACGCAAAGAACGCCTGAAAGAACAGACCCAGAAACAGTGAAAGGATGGAGGAAGAATGGAATGAAGAACAAAATGGAAAGGAAGGATGAAGAATGGAATGGAGGGGCGGACAGGGTATGGATGAAATGGAATGAAAGGAACAGAATGAAAGGAAAGGAGAATGAGAAAGACATATGGATCCAACTTGTGGATGATGAAAATAGTAGAAGATGGATGACTGACTGGACTGACTGAGTATAAGGCTCTTACGCTGCTTGTAGCAATTTTCCAGCAAATATCACGGCGGGGGACATCAGAATGGGCTTCTACACATTGTGCCTATGGGGAATCGAACCTGGTCCTTCAAGTAAGTGACGAGCCAACGCTTTAACCATATAGGCTACCCCACCACCACTTTCTTTTTATCGAAAAACTATATACAGCTATAGATAAAGTATGATGAATCCATGAAAATAATATTAATTTTAGAAGCATGCTGTACGTGGATAGAAAATGCATAAATTATCATACACAGAGTTGCTGCTTATTTGGCTACAGTCTTAATGAAATTTTGAATTTCAATAAGAACGAGTCGCTCACTTTTCAATTCTAAAATTGTCATTACTGTATGGCCAAGTCGTGAACATGCTATCAATATCATTTATTAATTACTTGCCAAGCCTGTAAAAAATGTAACGTATGAACACACATTGCCAAATCTTTTAACATCAAACAATAATATAGATGTTGTGTAATCAATACCATAGCTTTTATTTGAAATATGCATTCAATAACAATAGAAAACTTAATATGTTACTAGTACCACGTGCAAGTAATCAAACTATAATCGTACCATAGGCCCCAGGGCCAATACCACTGAATAAAAATCGATCTATTATCCGACCTTACTTTGACAATCTCATGAATAATACTGTGCAATATCGTCATTATCTGAAACGCCTTCACAGACGCATATTCCGGAAAGATGTCTTGAAAAACATGAAGCTGCTGCCTTAATTTCTTATAGATTGAACATAATGTCCTCGATAATTCATTATCCAGATGAACCCTACTTAGTTCAATCTACGGGCAGCGGACTGCAGAAAATGCATAATTCTTGTTAATGACTTCACGGTCGGAAAACATATACGCATATCACAAGTATTATGGTGAAACCACGTAGTAGATAAACATAAGTTCCTCGATACCAATAATCAGGTGAACCTCCATTTACCGGCATTGAGAATTTTTCAATGTTCCTGAGTGCACGGAAAACATGCATTATATTCTCATAAGTGTATTATAGAACGCTGCAACGATTCCGGCAGAAATGTCACTATTGTGCCACAGCGCATTCTTATATGAACCTATTAGTGTAGTACATTTAAGCATTCAGATATTGTTATAAAATAACTTAAAAATCTAAATATTAATGTGTAATATCACAAGAGAGAAGTGTTAAAGTTCGCCGTGACAAAAAAGGTTTCTCTGATATTCAAACATAATATTTAATCAAAGTGACTACGAAGTAGGCCTGCATATCATTCACACAACAGAAATAGATACACAAGAATGTTGCGTTTATTTTCCTACACATCAGTTGGTGAGAGCAATGTTTATGAACTGGCTTTTCACCACTTAATACAGCATTTTTTAAAAGATGATTTGCTTCAATTAAAACATCTGGAAGAATGGTGCTAAATTAGGCCTATTGCTGAAAATGATTAGTAAAAAATGAAATTAAAATCCATCTATGGGAAGGGATGCCGCATTTTAATATCAAAACAAAAATCTGACAATTTACTTGAGTATAGATTTTCAAAAAATAGCACAGTAATTAACAATGATATCAGGTTTTAATAAAATCACTAATAATTTGGAAACGTTGCCGATAAGCCTGGAATCGTGTTCAGATGTTTTCATAAATACATTCTCACATCGAACGCCCAAGTGCACTTTCTATATTCTATTGATAGTGTTTACATAATCAATGCTTCGCGAAGGCCGGTATTGAAACGCCAATTACATCACTTGTATTTCATATTCAGCGGCGACAAAATGAATCACTGCATTCTAAGGTTGGGACGGGTAATTGGGTACTTGAACTGGGTCGGGTATTGAGCTGAATCGAGTCCTATTTGTAGGAATCGAGTATCCGGAAAGGAGAGAGCTCCTGCAATGACAAGTGTTGCAGATTACCAGCTTGTCTTTTTCATTTTTGACGTAACACATAGTAACATCATTGGAGTGAGTGAGTTTAGTTTTAGGCCGCACTCAGCAATATTCCAGCTATATGGCGGCGGTCTGTAATAATTGAGTCTGACCAGACAATCCAGTGACGAACATACCATGAGCATCGATGTGCGCAATTGGGAACCGATGACATATGTCAAATTCAAGTCAGCGAGTCTGACCCAATTCGATCCCGTTAGTTATCGCCTCTACGACAAGCATGGGTTACTGAAGATCCATGTTCTAACCCGGAAATTCACGGGTTTCTATTTTGAAAGAAGGAAATGCATCCCGCCCAACTAATTACAGACCTATTAGTTTAATACCTATCCTTTGGAAAATCCTTGAAAGAATAATGGTAAAGCATGTGCACGACCATTTCCATGAACATAACATTTTAAGTAAATTCCAGTACGGTTTTACTGCTAGTCATTCTACTACATCTCAACATAGACATTTATCATAATATATGCTCAGTCCTAGATAATCACCACCTTTACTGTATGCTGTTTTGTGATATTTCAAAAGGTTTATTGCACAAATTAGAAAATGATGGTGTTCGTGGAAACGTACTTAGTTGGTTAACTAACTATCTATCTGGGCCCCGTTGTTCAATACTCGGTTATCTTATCCGCCGGTTAACTCCTAACGGCCGGTTAAATCCTTAACCGGCCGTTAGGTAACCGAACATTAAATATGCGTTGTTCAAAACATGGTTAGTCATGC